AAAAAAAAAAAAAAAATAGATCCCAATAGATCTCCTACTTGATCCCAGTTGCCAGGCATCCATCTTCAGAATTTCTATATGCAAGCAGCCGCTGTGATCGGTGTTCTCTTAGGATCATGCAGCATATATAGAATTACTATCCTGGCAGTGTTTTTCTCTCCAAAATCAACATTAGAAGCCTACTATGTATATCCTTTCCCTGTCCCCTTCCATAATGTTATCTGGGAAGACCATAAATGAAATTAGGTAGGCAATTCTCCTGCCATTTTTTTTAACACCTAGAAATTATCATATATTTATCTATTCAAAATAGAATATTTAAAACAGCATATCCTTCTATCTGCTTCCTTTTGCCAGAATTAGAGTTTGGCAATAAAGGGAAAATTTTATGAGTGTCTTCAGTGATCAACAGGAAACTATAAAATAACTTGGACTTGTAAAGTCAGTTTTAATTAGAAGAACAGGAGCACTGTACTTCTGGAAAGTGCAGAGTGGCAATTTTGGGGCAAATAATTGGGTTTTTAATCACTTCCATCAAGGTGAAATAAAATGAGCCATATTTGAAAGGAATAATTCTGATTAAAGTTGCTAAAATTCTTTGCTGAGCAATAATTGCTTACGATGTAATAATTTTATTAAAGGCTCTTGGCCAGGAGAAGGCACTTCTGAATAATCTTTCTTTTAATTTTATGTCCTATAAATTATGGAAAGTCAATGCCTCAGCAGTACTATATAGGCTGTAGAACTAACCAGACTGACTCAGAAATTTAGCATGAATAGTTTTCTCAAAGGCTATTAATCATAAAGAACTAAAAGGGAATTCTGATGATTTCAGATAAGCTTTATTTCAATGTACCTGATACTTTACCCAACAGGAAAGAAATAGGCTTTCTCTGTAATGCTTTTTGGTCAATTTCTTGATTGCTATCTTGGAGGTGGTAATAAACACTCACTTCATCCACCCTGGCAATTCTCAGGTTATAGGTCAAGTTTGGAAAAGGAATCAATTGCTCATTTCTAGAACTGTTGAGCCTCATTCACTCCTGACATCTGTAACACAATGCTGAAGGATATTGTAACAAACAAAGGTCTGCGGTTTGGCATTTCTAATGTTTTGAGTCCTCTTTGGGTGGCCCTTGTGCGTCAGGGATTAAGTGAAGGATATATTTTGTCCTACAACCAGTGCCATTGCTTCTAAAGAATCTCTGTTCTCCAAGAGTCATCCTACAGTCAAATATATCTGGACTGGGAGTCATGTCCGTGAGCGGCTGAGGCCAGGACAAAAAATGATTGCATTTACATATAGATTTAAATACTATTAATAAATTGTAATTAAATTGTTAATCAAACAATCAATCAATCAATGTAGTCATTTTTGTCACATTAAAAATCACAATTAGATAACAAACAGTTACTCTTTGGGGGTCTTTGGAGGCTGCTTTGAAGGATTTCAAGAGGTGGAGGTACCCTTGGGTCCTCAGTTGGCTCATCTCTGAAATAGCCTATCAGGGTTCTTGATCTTATATATAGAGCCACAAATGATTTCACATAGTTCCTCTTTGAAATGATCGTCCTTACAGTTTTTGAAAATAGACTATTTTTAATGTTATGGTTGTTAATTTCATAGCCTTTATGGTTTACTTTGTTGAGCAAAACCCAAACTTACTGCTGAACGTGGGTTTGCCAGGGTGTGCAGCTAAGACCCCCAAAGAGTAACTGTTTGTTATCTAATTGTGATTTTTAATGTGACAAAAATGACTACATTGATTGATTGATTGTTTGATTGATTAACAATTTAATTACAATTTATTAATAGTATTTAAATCTATATGTAAATGCAATCGTTTTTTGTCCTGGCCTCAGCCACTCATGGACATGACTCCCAGCCCAACCTTGAGTGCCTGGCTAGCGGATATGATTCCTCTACTCTAGGGCTGTGTAGCACTTTGATATCAAAGGGTGCTTAGAGCGTGCTTGGGTCCATATGTAGGGCCTAGATACGTATGTGCTGCTGCAGCTGTGGATGGTAGCTGGGCCAACCCAGGACAAGATGCAGCTGCTCAAGGAGTTGCTGAGAAATGCTAGGTGAGTGTTCCCTTATCCCAACTTTGATCCACTTGAATCTGCACAGCTCTTCCCTCTTCCCTCCATCTTTTGAATTTTTAGGCATTACCTGAGAATATTTTACTTTCAAATAAAGTACTTTCTGCTTTTTTTGGCCTTTGAATCGATGTTGGCTCCTAGTGACTGCCTGGACTGCTGCCTGCAGCTTTCTTGGCAAGAATTTCACTACACCAAATTGGCTCTCACCTTCTGCATAGGTAAGTCTTTTTTTTTTGTACCTTTGAGTCAGTGTTGACTCATGGCAAGTGCTGAAAAAGTCCCTGTAGTTTTCTTGGCAAGATTTCAGAAGTGGTTTGCCATTGCCTTCTTCCCAGGGCTGAGAGAGAGGGACTGGCCCAAGGTCACCCAGTTGGCTTCGTGCCTAAGGTGGGACTGGAACGCCTGGTCTCCCAGTTTCTAGCCTGGTGCCTTAATCACTACATCAGACTGGGTCTAGGTAAGTCATGCCATGCATAAATTATTGATTAATAATACCTTAATTATTGATAACTATTGCTTATATATTCTTCACATTTGTTATAATTGTTACTTAACAAATCTATTAAAATAATTTCCTTCTGAAACTTGTTTGCTGCCAATGTCTCTTGCTGCGCCACAAAACGGGTCTGAGCTTGGTGCCGAAGCCAAAAGACATCCAAACACGAGGTGCAGAACACAAGGTTGCTTTTATTAAGGTACCAGAACAAAAGGACTCCAGCCTGAAAGGCAGCAGGAGCCCTGAACACAGTTTGGTTACAATTTTTATACTTCCCCAATTCCCTCCCCAGTTCCTCATTGGTCAGGTACTATGGAGTTTACAACCTATCAGATACATCAAATACAATTCCCGGATGTCCCGCCTTAGTTTACATCTCTCACTACTCTACTCCAAAGCCCCCTTGCCCCTATTAGTTTACATCTCTCACTACTCTACTCCAAAGCCCCCTTGCCCCTATTAGTTTACATCTCTCACTACTCTACTCCAAAGCCCCCTTGCCCCTATTTACAATTATTCATATTTGGGACTTCTATCTACGTGTCATTTTGGAAGCTACTGTGTTCCTGTAGTTTCTTACATAGCCACAGTCTGTGGTTAGATTGGCTGTACCCTGTCGCAACTATCTACATTCTTCCCCTTTTTATATATGTGCAAGCTGCTTTAAGCCTATAGCTAAATTTCACACATCCTGTCTTCTAGGTTGTGGGCCCTCTTGCAAGCGTTTCAGCATGTTCCCCCCCCCCCTTATCAGCTGCCCCAACAGTGGGTGGTTGGGCTCATTCCTCTTCAAACTGGTGTTGGTATGGCCTCAGTTCCACATATGAACCTGGGGGGAGATTAACCCCCTTCACTATAATCTAATTTTCTTTTTTTCTTAAAAAAGCAGAATATCATAAGTTTGTAGAGAGGGGCACATGGAAAATGTACTTAGTCTGAAATAGTTTTTTCATATTTTATTGCTATGGTTGCCGTTGCAAACCACACCTTGATGTTAAAGATCAGGGGTTGTCATTGTAGAAAGTTAATGTTTGATTACAGTAAAAATCTACAGATATTCTGAGAAACTGCCAAGAGAACTGAGAGATGAAGGCAAGCAAAACCATTGTGAACAGGTGTTGTTATTTTAAAACAAATTGAGATTTTTATAGTCCAGGTAAGGGATAATTTTTTTACCAACTTTTGCAGATTTTCATAATACCTGAGACCTGTTTGACTGTTCGATCAGTCCGACTTGTAAAATATGTCACTTCCCTATTTATGTTACTTGTTGTCAAGCACATTTTGCTAGATATTTTCTTGAATTTTGTTTGATTTATCTAAAACTATGTTTCTTTTTGTGTTATGAGTTAAATTTCATATTGCTACTAGTAGGAGAGTAATAGGTTGATTGGAAAACCTTTTGCTAATAAATGAAGAAGGTAGAAGAAAGATGGTGTGGATTGAATGTAAATATCCTCTCTCTCCATGTTAGGAAGGCAGTTTCATAAGATCAACAGTGAGTATCTATGGTGCTTCTTGTGATAACGCCATTATATGGTGTGTTGTAGTCCCTGTTCTTTCCACCATTTTGGATTCTTTTGCCTTTTCAAGAAATGTTTCTCTGTTTTTTTTCACCCACCCTTTGAATCTTTTTCTTATTTCTCTCAGACAGAATCATCCCCCTCCTTCCATGAAACTTGGTTTCCATATCATATCCTTAGATAAGGACAAAATACTGCCCTGGATCCAAAGTTCTCTCCTATTCTCTTGTCACAAGGAGCTCTCTCAGTTAGATGACATCTTTCTTGGTCACATGAAGGGAAGCTTGGGTCCAACCCGTTTGTTTGCTCAGGGTTGGGTAAAGCAACCTGTAATAAAAGGGGTTTCATTTCCCTCTTTAATAGTGATCTTATGGTATTGTCGAGTCAAGTATCTTCTTCCTTCCTTTCTGTTGTCTGCGTTTTTCGAAATAAAACTCCCATGCTGAAAACCAAAACAAATCAAAAGAGAGACAAATTCCTGTAAAGGTTTCCTGCCTAGAAAAGAAACCAGGGTGGTACAATTGAAAGCAGGAGTGAATAACGTACTTGCTGGAATCAGAGTTTAACACAGATTTGAATCGCTGCTCAGAAATTGTGTTTCAACTGTTAATAGGAATCAGAAGAGAAAGCCTGATCAAGATGTTTAAGCCAAATGGACTTAGTTTACTGTGTCTCCTTAGTCTTCACCAGGTAAGTGGCAAAAAGCTTTCATTTATCTTTAACAGACTTGATTCTGAACACACTGGAAAACAGTTGTTTTTTACTGGCAATTATTGAGATGGGAAAAATAGTATATGGCTTCCTTTCATTTTCTTGGAACATTCATAATCTAATTAAGGATTTTCCAATCCTTCAAATTATGGTACACAAATTATTTCAGTTTCCCCCAATGGTAAATGGTGATGCTGTCTCTTGCCTGACTTTACGAACCTAGGGAAATCTCTTAGCATTTCTTGGGGATCATTTGCGTGGGTATATTGCTTGCGATTTTGTTTTTCATTTGTTGATCCATGTAGCTTTCCTCACAACTCTGTCTCTTGTAAGGGTTTACATTCACTAATGTGTAAAATTCTGATCCCCTCATTACAGTATATAAATAGCAGCATATACAAGTTGATGACTGCAATGAGGAATGCATATTCAAGTATCAAACATTCTACATTCAAATTTTGAATGTTGTCTTAATTTGCTTCTGATTGTCATTTATTATATGCAAATTTCACTTTTCTTAAAATGGGTAGGAGATGGAGATGTTTCTCATTTAGATTGTGGCTAAATTGCAGGTAGGGGTTATCGCTGTAGAGACATTACCTCTATTTGCCTTATCTTGTGGAGTCCAACGCTTTATTTAAAGGGCTGCCCAGTCTATGTCTACTTTTAAAATAAAGAACCATAAGAAAGGAGAGCAAAAGATTGACCTTCAACAATTGACCTTCAACAATTGGAAAGCAGGCAGGGCAAATAGAGGTCATCTGCTCAGAAGCTCTCCATTATGCTGAGATACATGATACATTGCTATTTAAATTATATTAATTAATTCTAAATGTGTATCTCTGCTAGAGATGAACAAACTTTTTGCTCATTTAAAAGTTGAAAAGCATGCCAGGACAATGACCCCAAACAGCTCCTACTAATCAGTTAGAGTAATTAAGCCACACTAATGAATGAATATTTGGGTTAGGAATGATAGTTTACTGCTTTGGAATGTATCACTTCTATAGATCTTGTGAATCTTAGGAGTACAAATCGGAGTCCCAAACTTTTTGGGGTTGATGGGTACACTTGGAGATTTGAGAACATATTGCACGAACTCTTACAAAATGGCTGCCATGGAATAGCTTTGGAGGGTGGGATCAATCAAAAACCCCTTTTTATCAGAAGACAACTGGGCAGCATAGTTCTCACCATCAGCTTGAATTCCTCCCTTTTTCTGGACAAGCGGTCATATGTTCAGACAAAACACTGGGCTCCAGCCACATAACATTTTAATTTTCTAAGAAAGCCTATGGTGTTCATGTGGGTCCAGAAAAAATCGTGGAAATGAAGATCATACTATGGCCTATCACTTTGCTTTCCACTATGCCAAATTCTGATGTAAAGTCAAAGAACTGATTTTTGTTTTAAGTCTGGTGAGCAAGGAGTTTGGCGGGCATGACGGGAGACTCTGTCGGCACACTGGTACGCAGGTTAAATGCCCATTTAATCCAGCAACCTTTTGCAATGGTGGCCCTCCAAATGTTTATATCTATAAGGCATGAATGTAATATCATCCATCAGGTCTGGCAGGAGAGGTATGTTGCGGATCCCATATGCCAGGGAGTTTTGTCAGGTGGAACCTAGGAGGAAAGCCTTTTCTGCCGAGGCCCCCGCCCTATGGAATATCATTCCCCCAACCCTGTTGGCCTTCTGGAAGGCCCTTAAAACATGGTTCTGTCAACTAGCTTGAGAGTTCCATGATATAGTGGAGCCTGCTAGATGGCTATATGATAGTTAATTGATTGCACTCTTTTGTATGTTTTTCCACCATATTTTTATTTGGTTTTTATCTGGTTTTTATCTTTTTAATTTAAACTGGTTGTTTTTAATGGCTTTTTATGTATTTTGATGGTTTGATTATGTATGCTGCCCAGAGTTACTATGTGAGATGGGAGCTCTACAAATGTGATAAATAAATAAATAAGTAAAGTCCCCTCCTAAGAATAGGTAATTAGAGGAATGCTGTTTCTAAGTATTTGGGTTCCATTTATTCTGTTAGGATTGGTAGTAGTCGTCAGGGACAGAAGTTTTGCCTGGCATGTTTAACTTCTTGAAGATTTAATGTTTATTGCAAGAGGTCAAGCGTTCAGAATGCCTGGGTCAAGCACAGAGAGTTGGATTGGGACAGTGGGGGTGGCCTGTCTAAGAAAGCAGAATGAACTCTGCTTCTTCTCTACTTGGTAGGAATCCCGATTCTTATTTCTAAGAGTCCCAGCCCCCTGAAAACAACAAAATGCTCTGCCCACAAACTTCCTTAGGTATCACTGTTGTACATGTTGCTATGGCTGAAGTTTGAAGGAAGGAAGCCAAAATAATATTTTCTGTATGCCAAGAGGAAAGTATCAGCAGCAGGCTTGGGGATTCTGGATGTTTACAGGAATATATATAAACAAACAATGGGAGAAAGAGAAAGGATGGTTTGCAAAGACAGAGAGGAATATTGTTGGTATCAATTAGCTTCAACTGTCTTTTCTTTTCTTTTCTTTTCTTTTCTTTTTTCTTTTCATCTCATGCTTCTTAGTGCTTTGGCTTACTATTTCTTACACCATCTCTGTGCTTTGCATAACATTGTTTACCTCAGGACAGAAGAGCATAATGGGTACGCATGCCTCTCCTACCAAAAAAAGACTCCAGTTTTCTGTGTCCACAGAAATCTGAGTCATAATTGCAAGAAGGTTGGATAGTACTTACCATGATTCTGGTTGGGGCTCCATGTAAGCAAGTGGTATCTCTTAAAATGTCTATTCATACTCATCACACTACTCAGTTTTGGGGTAAGTAATGTTGTGCAAAGTGTGGAAAGGGTATAAGAAATAGTAAGCCAAAGCAGTTAGAAACCAAAGGTAAAAAAAGAAATATAGCTAAATCTAACATACTTTATCAGCAGCATTCAGTATACTTCTATACATTTCTGTCTTTGCAAATCATTCCACACATCCATACGTTGCTTCATACATTGCCCTAACCTTAACCCTCAAAAAGAAAGAGGTGAGAAGTTTAAAGTACAAAAGGTGGTCTGTTCATTCATTTACAGTGAATAAATGAGGATCAAATCCTAAAATAAATATGTGAAGGAACAGTAAACACCATTCAGCCACAACTTCTGTGGTCTTTTCCTTCCACTTGATAAATTTACTGTTCCTTCCCCCACCTCAACATACATCTTTCATAGTGCTGACTCACTTGTATTCAATCCATATTCATCACCCATTCATTCCTCATCCTATCTCTTCTTGTTTCACCACCTCCATCTCTTGGAAGATGGGTATGGCAGGAGGAATTTATTCCAGGCAATGTCCTGGAACCCTCAAACCTGCATAGAACAGGGGTTTTCAAACCATTTCAGGCTACAGAACCTGTTAGTTAAAACAAAAATTCCTGGAACCCTGGACCATGAGGCAAAGCTCTAGTGACAGAAAATTGGCTGTGTTCAAGTGAACATTTTTTGCCTTTAATCTTTTGGAGGACCATATCAAGTTCTCAAGGAAGCCTCGGGTTCTGAGGTATACAATTTAAAAAATGCTGACATAGAGCATGGTCAGTCTGTCCCCCAATAGATGGTGATAAAGTTTGTGGACATTTCCTGTGTCTTATAGATGAAGAAGGTTATTCCAAAATGATTTTTTATACTGAGCTTTTGCTTTGGACACATGACACTATGAATGTCTGTGTCATGGTGGCTACTTTCATTCTAATATCAGATACTGTATATGAACTGGTCACTTATATTTCAAGTCTTTTTGAATCAAAAGTGAGACAGATGTTGAAACTCTTCTTTGCAGAGTTCTTGTGTAATCTTGGAGCAGCTTTCAATAAAGGGAGTGAGGGAAGAAACTAGAAAGAACCACTCCTCATTATTCCTACATTATATTATGATTCACATTTTATAGCTCACATAAAACTATTCCAATGGACCAGGAAGGGCCTACGCAATGATATAAGATTTAAACTTTGATCCTTGGAGTATGGTTGAAGACTTTGATCTTTCTAACAGGGCTATATGTCCCCATAACATAAAACAAAGGGTTTTTCTGCAAGGCAGCCTTCAGATACTTATCTCCTGTGTGTAAACTGGGTGGAAATGAAGCTGCTTTAAGAATTCTGGATTTCAGCCCCTTTCTCCACTATGTCCTTGAGTCCGATGTTCTGTCCAGACCACATTTCTTATAGCCATGATTGGAAGATTCCCATTTTTTCACCCTTCTTGGACTGGTTAGAAAAAGAAAATACCACCATTTTATCATTTTCATATTGGGGCTAAAAGGGGAAAGTGGCAGATCACTTGTCAATTCTACATTATTAAAAGAAACAACAAAAAAAGTAATCCTTTCACTGTTGTATCAGGAACTTATTTTTAAAAAGTCAGCTTTTTCCTTTCTGCTGGTGAAATTGTAAAATAAAATAAAATAAAATAAAAATGCTGGAGAAGGCAATGACCACTGATGGACAGGAGAGGGTTCCTGCCACAGCTCACAGTCACCACTTAAATGGGAGGCCCTTGCTTCCAATAAAATGAAGTGCACCAGCTAACATGCGAACCAGATAACACCGTGTGAGCTGGCACAAGATAGAAAACATTACTTCGATGAGTAGCAGGGGAAGGCAGGCAGACGTTGTTTGGTGATCAGGGTTGGGTAGGGGCCACATTGAGAAATGTCAGTGGCCCATTTTGGCACTAGGGCAAGATGCTCAAAATGATCTGTCCAGGGAGAAAATCTTTCCAGATACAACAGTAAAAATGAGATTTGTCTTTATAAAGTAGAGTTTAGCCTTCTTGTCCATTCTTAACACAATGAGGGCTTCTTTAGTGAGGACTAATGCTTTTCTAAAGAAAAGCAATTACATCCCAGTTGTTGAGTGTGGGTTTGTTTGGTGAAACAACATTAACCTCCCAAGTAATTGTTGTACGTTGCCCAGAGTCATTTTGTGTGAGA